GAAGGTTATTTTAAAGTGGAAGATCTCTTAGTAGATATCACTTAGAAACTGAACTAATCATTCAGGGAGCGTTTGCCTGTTATTTCTTATAATATTTTTTGGACATTAACACACAACGCCATCTAGTTTCAAACTAAGCAGAGCTTGTACTATGAAAGCTAGATTGACTGATAGAATACTTAGATACTTTTTTTTGTAAATACATACATATTATACATAGAATACACGAAATCAATTGGCAGATATGGTCCGACCCCAGACCTCAGCACAGTTGTCGTATACGCTGCCACTGCCACCACCGAAACAGTCATTTATTAAATATTGTTAGAATCTACCGAAACAAATATTTGCAGATCACGCAAAACATTTGGTCCGACCCGAGAATCGAACCCGAGACTTCAGCACGCTACCAATGAACCACCGACTCAGCCTAAGTCCTATATTATTCTATACGATACCAGATAGCCCTGCTAGCTCACCCACACACCTTTGTCTGAGTTTCGCAAAATAAATAATTTTTCCTGGTTTTTGGAAACATTTTTAATTGATTCCGTGCTCTTATCGGTCGTACTGTAATGTTATATATCCGTCCTCGATAAATATCCAACACTTAAAGAATATTTCAATTCGAACAAGTTGTTCCTGAGACTAACGCGTTAGACCAAACACTTGAGCTTTTTAATATTAGTATAGATATTATTTTACATTGACCATCATTGTAGAAATGATTGTGTGTATTGTGAGTCGCACCGACCCTCGGTCGCGAACTCTAAACCTTAGAAGTCATGTGATGGGCCCGCACTGAAATCTCCACCAATCGCAACGCTCAACGCGCTCGCCGTCAAGAGCGAGTCGATGTCAAATAAACTTCTGTTCTCACCCGCAACGAGTTAGCGTATAAATATAAATCAATTTTAACACCGGGTTGACATTGTAAATTCTTGTTTCAATAACATAAAATATATACAATAACTTGAGAGATCTCACACACGGCCGTCTGATCTCAAACTGAGCAGAATCTATGCTATGGTACCCAGACTGCTGATAAACATATAAGTAAGTATTTTTATCAGCAGTGTGTTATTTGTAAGTTTGTTTATTTAAATACATATATCATCAGCATCTGAATACATACATATCATAGATAAATTAGATCCAAACACAGAACAAAATGATCGTGCTCAATACACAATTATTTGTCTTGGGTGAGAATCGAACCCACCACCTCTGGCTTAGTACGTCACTAACCACCAGACCCACAGGCTACCAAAGATTATGGATATACCGTTACCGATTCAGAGTTTATCTGCAATCAGTTCCACAAATATTTACACTACCGCGATTTCATAAGTGAACTGTGCCGTATGAACGCAATAAATGATTGCAAAACTATAAGATACAAATCGAAGTGCTAAAAACGAAGCCCCAGATGCCACACAGTTGATGAAAAGAAAAAAATACACAAGGCTATAAATTCAGCAAATGAGCAAAACGGTGTGACGTAACAAGATAATTTTTGTTACGGACTGTGACGCAAAATGGCATGCACTGCAATACGAATCATTCTGCTGTAGACAAACCCATTTGTAGGTGAATTTGACGTATCCTTAACGCAACGTGTTACCGAAAGAGAGAGAGAGAGAGAGAGGAGACAACCTCTAAACGATTTCGCTAAAACATTCTTAATACATGTAAAGGTAAATGAAGAGAGAGAATGATTAAATGCAATTGAAAAGAGAAGTAAACAAAATGGTTGGCCTCTTGATAAGACACGACAACTTCTTTAAAACAATACTAGAAGTCAAAAGAAAGCTAGGACGACCTAGATCGCAAAAAAAGAGACGTGTGGTACTTACTCCACCGACAAGCGCCTGGCCTTTAAATTAAGAGAGAAAGAGAGAGAGAGAATACATTGTTGAGTCAATCCAAAAATGGGTTAGATTTTGCCAAATAATACATATTTTATGGCATTTTCTCGCATTGATGCACATTTCCATATGTTATACTACAATGTTTTATTTGTTTGAGCTAACTTCTGGAACTAAATACGAAAATAATCAGATTTGAACAAATCTTTTTGTGTTGGATAGAGCTAAAGCTATAACCAATACTTCACGATTATTAAAACGATACCGATCTGACATAGCATATAATTATCCTATTATCACTTGCTTTAAACGTAACTAAATTGCAGTTTAGAAAAGCAAGCCGTAATAGCGAACATAATTGAAAAGTTAAAAAAACAGTTCAGGTATCGATCACACGGAACTGCAACTCAAGAGATGCGATGCCGACCCCCAACAGAAGAAGAGAAAGGAGTTTGTGTGCCGGCGAGCTCACTCACTCTGAGAAAAGAAATGAGAGAAATGCTTAACAGTTTTTGCAATTGGTATCGGACCTGCACATTTGTGCTGAAGAATGGCTCTCCCCCGTTAAACGAGTTTTTTATTAGTAACCATGGAAGAGTTCAGCTATCCAACTCCTAGCACCTACATCAGATGACTGCACGGATGCCGTAGTGGTTTAAACGGTCGCCACGTAAGCACGTACTACGTTGAGTGTTTGTAAATTCCCCCCTTTTTTTTCCGTGCGGAAATCTCCTCGGATACCACCTGTCGGTGGCAAGTCGGACTCGAACCGACTAAAACCGCACGCCGTCTCGGGTACTAATAGCCGGGGAACCAGGTATACCCTAGAAAGGAAGTCCCTAGTGCATGTAAATTCCCCCGAGACACAGGATATATTCTTATTGCGAGAGTTATGTTCTTTAAAAATAAAGAAAAAAATAACTCTAAAATGTCTACTTTTACATATAAATTGGCTCCTTTATTATTCATATAAAAGCGGAAGCTACTGGAACGCACAAAGAAAACTGACGCCTTAAGTCAAACAGATTCAGTGTTATTGGAAATAACATAGAATAGAATAGAATGAAATAATCTTTATTTTACTCCAATTCAGGATATTATACATACAATAGTATTCCAAGTTAATGACCATGTACAAATGGCGCCCTCACCGCTAAAAAAGAAATCTCTTACAGGCAACTTTTTGATGGACAAATAGACTGTAAATAGGTAATTTCATGGGCAGATTTGGTGAGAGAAAAAGTGTAAAGGAAACTAAAAACAAAAAAGAAAAATATTTATACAGCACAACAGCATTCCTTTGACAATTATAAAACAAAGTAGTGTTAATTATATATAGCAGGCAGGTTATATACAAAGATACCAAGGCGTGATGACACTATTGCCAGATTTTTCATTTTTAAAGATATGTTTGGCACGTCTTCCAATCCACTGACTGATCTCTTCTTGAGAGAAAGGATATCCATTGTATACATGGGACGTGGGGTAATCCATGACTAAGCATAAATCTAAAATGTGGGTACGTACTTATGTATGTTCGTATTCTATGCGTTGCCGTACCAAATACCCGATATTCATGATGCCTATTGATAAACCTAAAAACGTCCATATGCCTTTTGCTTCCCTATAAGTATATTTTAAGTGTTAGGAAACCTTATATTTTTCTTGAAGTAAAGCCTGTTAAAGCTATTACAATATAATAACAGGTTTGGTTTTGTAATCTAATGGCCGTGGTGCTTCCCTGTTTAAAAGGGTGTATGCCTATTTTTCTTCATTTTGTCTCCCGCTTTGCTAAAGAGGGAAGTGGATTTACTGTATTTCCAACTCTTCCAAATTTCTTCTGATTAATTTCGTTGCTCGTTCCAAGACAGTTTAATTTCTTCCTGGGCCTTCCAGAGTGTTATAACTAGGTGTGTTCGTGGGTCACTGCTGTGGATCCTGGTGTACAGGAGTTACAGTGGTGGGCGTGTGGGTGGGATTAGTTTCATTAAAAGAAAAAAAAACTAAACCGATACTTACTATGAAATACGTGTTTCATAAATCCAATTAAACACATATTTTTGCGTATTTTAGCGAAGTAATCTTATTACTTAGGACAAAGGAAACCACTTAAATTCTCTGTAGGATAATACCCCAATCCTGTTATACGATCACGTTTTACTAATTTACTTATCCTACAAGGAATTAAATTGGATAACAAGTTGGCAAACATGTTGAGGCTTGGCTAATTGTAAACAGTTATGAGGTGTCTTACTTGCTCCAGTCTTTCCTCAGAAGTCTTTTCATGATGCAAGAGACTTCTCTAGAGTGTCAGGTATTATCAAGCATTCTTATTTGCGAACAAAAAACATAATAATTACAACCAAAAACATATATCTATCATTAAATATAAAATTCATTCGGAAATGGCATAATTTATTAAGTTTCTTTACAATTTAGTTGAACTGAAATGGCTCTGTTTTAAACATAACTTAACTTTGAGCATTTAATAAAATATTATACTGTAATATCGTTTCATCAAAACCAGGACTGCCGCAACTAGACCGCATATATCAACCACAAAGTTATACAAAAAAAAAACACGAACATAAATTCATAACTCATCTCCACCACGAAATTGTTCTTTAAGTGTAGCTATCAGGACCGAATCGATTCGGTTTATAATCCATTTCAATCGGTTTAACGGTTCAAACGGTATATCAATCTGACCGTATAACTGAAGCACTTCCATCGAAAGCTTAACTGTATCGTGAAATGGACAGCTTATCTATGGTATCATGGTTTGTGACGTAACGACACGTCGTTACCACAGACTAAATATTGTGTAGAAGATACACCGTATTATCAATGACTTGTTGTCAAGGATTGAAAAAAGAAAAATTTCATTATCTTATCTTAAGTTGTATTGCTAATTGAAAACAATCAATTCCCCTGTCATCATCAACAGTCTTAAACAGTCCACTGCAGGACATAAGTCTCTCCTTAGAAAGGGGGTTCCCTTGTACTATGCGACTAATTAATAGAATGCGAATAGCCCCTGTATGAAGTGCCACTTTTTGTTCTTCCGTGAATGCGACAAAGCCAAATGGAAAAAAACCCACATATATTGTTCTCGTTACTTCTTCTACTTACCTTAGAAGATAAATCAGCAATAATTTCGTTCTTTTCGTCGATCTGCCTTTCCCTTTCCAACGCTCTGCGAGCATGTGCGGCAATGGAGTCTCTGACGCGTGACCCCTCGAGTGCCGCGTACGCAGCCACAGCGTCTGCGCAGGCGGCGGCCAGCGCTCCTCGTCGAAGCGTCTCACCTTCCTCGCCGTCCAAGGACGTAAGAGACAGATCTGAGTGTAATCCTGCAGAACGACAAAATAATAAAAAAATAGTGAAACAGTATTTTATTTATGTACTGGTACTTTGGTTCTGATTTCAGTGACGTCAGATTCGCTTTGCTAATCCTATCACTAAATATTATGTGGGGCGGTCAGATGTGCTCAAATTCAAGAAGAACTCCACTCTAAGATCTACCGGTTCTTCAATTTTGGTTGTCTATTTTCATAAAAAGCAAGCAATTTAAGTCACACCGTAATAGTTCATTTTGACATCTACAACTTTGTAAAATTTGATTGATAATAAACAGCCCATTTAATTTTATACGAACGAAAAGACTAGTCATCTTCTTCAGGATCTACAACTATGTCTTTACTACTCATATTTTTCAACTCATATTTTTCAACTCATATTTTATAACGAAGGTGAGATCCAGTTAACATTTTCAAATAAAAACTTTTTCAAATATCAGGAGAGTCGTTTAATTTCATTGTTCTAAAAAATTCAAAAATTGGGTGAAGTTCAACAACAGTGCGTGTTCGAAATTCGAATGACATCATACACGTCATGTTGGCGCAAAGGAGCGTGGTACGCCATGACACCAATGTAATGTTGGTAAATAAATTGACTGGTAAAAATTCAACTCATTCTTATACAAATTGATCGACATACGTTAGATATTTTTAAATCCTAGGGTTTTATTTTCTATACATATAAAGTTACTTGCCCTGACTGACTGATTCATCAACTTAGAGCCTAAACCGTGCCATAAACCTGAAATTTTGGCAGAGTCAATTGGGATATTTATATCTTTTTGACGTGACAACGTCTTATAATTCGATGGAGCCGGCTGCATGCACGAAAAAACAAGACTCATGCTCATGCGTTACCTCGCTCTGAGGCGTTCCATTTAAGGCGTGAAGTGCAAGCGAGAGCGCGGAACGAGTGACAAAGAGGCACAATCGGCCTCCGCGTTCGGCAGCGTTCGACATCTGTCTCTCTCCTACTTGAGTGAGCGATGCGTCCGCGTGGACAGCTGCTACTCGTATACAATAATACATTTTTGAAAAATGCAACCATTCCATCAGTATTTTCTTATGACGTTGTCACGTTCAACTATCGTCAGTAAACCGACTTTACAGACAACCGATTTTTTTTTTATGTATGTTCGGGCATAATTCCGTCATATATAGACAGATTTTCAAAATTATTTTTGTTCGACAGGGGTTTATTCTGAAATGGTCTAATTTAAATTTCATATTGATCTGATGATGAGTTTCAGAGACAGACAACGGAACGGAAAAAAATGACAACAAATCAACCGTGATTGCTGCTAGGTTTTTCAGTGCTCTTTGTTATTATGTTTGAAGTGGGTTCAGCTTTTGAAAAATATTTATTACGTTGTAACTACCCACTAAGAAAGAATTTTTGGAAGTTTCACCCCATAAGGGGGTAAAATGATAAACGGTTGTATCAATTCAATCAATTATACTCAATTCAATATTCAATTCAATGTATACGTGAAGGCAATGTACCATGTGCTACCATTGCCTTCAAATTTTACCAACTTTCAAAATTATACTTGGCAAAATATTGGCGCTTATTACGTTTCTGCTTACTTCTTCGGAGTCATAGGCTGATATAGATGAGTTTATGTATGTATGTACGCTACTACTACTGCAGCCGCCCATGAACGCCTCAGGAGTCCAAAGCGCGTTGCCGGCCTTTAAGGAAGGAGTACGCTGTTTTCTTGAAGGTTTGAAGGTCGTATCGGTCCGGAAATACCGCAGCTGGTAACTTGTTTCACAGGTTGGTAGTGCGAGGTAAACAGTGTCTTGAAAAGAGCAAGAAAAGAGCGTACTCCTTCCACCAAGGCTGGCAATGCGCTTGTGACTCCTGAGTTGCAGGCGTTCATGGGCGGCGATAGTCACTTTCCATCAGGTGATCCGTGTGCTCGTTTTCCCCCTATTTAATAACAAAAAAAAAGTACCAATTCGACGCAGTATTTTACCATTAACGTTCAAAACGTGACCGTATTATTGTAATTCATACATCGTATTAATATTTCCGTAAAATAATCCAGGAACGAATTCGCGAAGGTCGCGTTATTGTCTGCAGTATACGCCACTGACTCATTGACATAGCACAGGTAACTTACAGTAGGTTAAAACAGATGAGTATATACATGAAAATGTTACCGAAATATTGGATAATGCGTTACAAGGCTGTATTTTACTATAATGCCGTTAGAAAACCAGTATAGTTTAGATATTATAAATTTATATTATAAATTTATGTATAATAAAGAACATGATCAAAAAACTTAAGTTTGAAGGATTTGGTTTAATAAATTTGTTACATACAAAAACGTTTTTACGTTGTTGTATTAAGGTTTTAATTGCACTGCTTTTTATTACCATTATGTGTCATGTATGACTCTATATTTTATCATTTGTCATAATACGAGCATAGGTCATAGTTACTAGCATTCTATGGACCATTTCACTTATAGTATATTGCACAGATAGTATAATCTAAACATTTATAAATATTGTCATGTTTAATATAATTTAGTAGTTCATTTTCATTATGTTACACATACACACACACACACATAAAGAAAGGGAGAGAGAGAGAGAGAGGGAGGAAGAGAGAGAGAGAGAGAGAGAGAGAGAGAGAGAGAGAGAGAGAGAGAGAGAGAGAGGGAGGGAGAGAGAGAGAGGGGGAGAGAGAGAGAGAGAGAGGGAGGGAGGAATATAGTTAAATAATTTATTTATAACCAAACCTTCTTTAATTGTGAACAAACCTAACAACTACTTAAGGTGATCTAAGATCTAAGCTTCAATCACTACGCCTTCTAGATCTAGTGGAGAATCTAATAAACTACAAGGCACTTTATTGAAAGATTATTGCAGATTAATTAACAGCTGTTACTTGTTTCAATGTTAAAATTAATTATTTTGCATCTTTTACTATTTCATGGACATTTCCTAATAAACACAGACACTTCATCAATATCTTTTTTATTTATTATTTGAATATAGTTTTTTTGTTAGCACTCTCTACTTGTTTTCTTTTATATAAATACATTATTTCAAATAGATATATGATGATATGAAAATGATGATATTTTAGAAAATTAATGATAGAAAAAAACTACTTCCTACCATTCTTTTTTTTCACTTTTTAGCTTTTATATAGTTCTCGTTGTCGAGAATCAAATCAAATCAAAAAGTTGTACGGCCTTATTTAGAGATCTTTTGTAACATAATATATTATGATGGGTGTTATAATTAGCACGTAACAGTTTTTAGTGGTGAATGTGTGGTGACTTCCACATATGGTGTTACAAACAAACGTACTACAGCGCCATCTAACGAAGATACACTGAACTACGGAGTAACTGTAATCCTGTATCGCGATAATAACAATTCTCTCGCCGATTAGCATATTTACAACTTTCCAACATCAACCGTAGGGCCGCGGCCCGCCAGGCAATATCGCCTCGTCTGGTCGGAGGTTCCTCCCTATGTGTTGGAGGGACATGACACCCGTTCCTCCAGAAATGCATCGTCTTTTTCAGACATACATACACTCGCTCTTTATCCCCAAAGGAGAAAACAGAGTCGTATTTAAATGCCCATATTTTGCCCACTATAATTTGAAAGTCACTTACTTATGCCCCTCTATTAAGTAAGATATATTTCTAAATTAACATACTTATATATTTTTAAATACATACATATTATAGATAAATTATAACCAGACACAGTTCAAATAATCGTGCTCAACCCACAACATTAATCCTGGCTTGAAATCGAACCCACGAGCTCTGGCTAAGTGGTCAAGATCGCTAACCACTAGACTGTCAAGCCCATTATATTAATTAATTCAACAAGATTCTTAAAATTGAATGCACAGATGGCGTGGTGGTTTAAGCGTTCGCCACGCCACTTACTACTACGCTGAGTGCTGTGGATCCGATCCCCACATGGGACTACACTTTGTGTGATCCACAAATTGTTGTTCTGAGTCTGGGTGTTCTTTGTGTCCGTTACATGTATGTTTGTAAAGGCCCCCGCGACACAATATATACTTATACCTAATACAGTAACTGTCCTTAAAAAAAACTTACATTAATTTAAGTAAACATAAAGTAAAAAATATATATATTTTTACAATATTAATATGGCAGTGAAAGGAAAACATAGTACTATTGGTTACTATCTTGTGAACTGACACCATTTCAGTCATACATTAAAGTGTTCACCGAAAAATACATTAAATTAACAATTTTATTACATTTTTAGTGGTCTTCCTGGAAAATTAGGTTCACAAATCGACAGAATAATATGAATCTTAGGTTCTTTTATGTGGTTGGCTGGTTTTATGATTCTTTACTTTATTAATGGTTTTAATAAGCGTTTCAACAAAAGTTTTACGAGTTTAGTCCGTTTTACTTTATATTAGGTTACATTACCTATTTTTATCCTACTGCGACAGAAGGGAGTTATGATTTCCAAGTGTATGTATGTTTTCATTGGTCAACGGCCTTTAATAGTTCACTGCTGGGCATAGGGCTCTCCTTAGAAAGGAAGTTTTAGCCTACTATACCACGCTGGCCAGACCACGCCAGGGTTGGTAGAGGGTTTTTTTGTCAAGTTTTCCTTCTCCTTGCAATGCTGTTGTCCTGCGTAGTTAGCTCCCTTTGTCGGCTCTTATGACACCCATGGGATGAATAGAGGTGGTGACATTTCGAACTCGTAATCAGTCACTACACGGATAGATACCACATTTTTTATGGTATGTATGTATGTATATTTCTTTGACACGCTGTGTAGTCCGCGTAAACGGGTTGATGAATTTTGACTTGGGACTTTCTTTTTAAATGTGAGAGTGATACGGGTTAGTATATAAAAATGATAAAAATTAAAAAACGCTGGTTTTAATTCCCTATACATTTTACGAAGTAGGTTTTTTATTTTTAAATACTTAGCTTGTTCTATTTAAATGTACAAGACAAATA